TTATTACTGCGTTATGGTCGGTGAAATGCAGAGCCAGTGATTCTTCTAGCGGATCAGCTTAAATCCGCTAGAAGCCATGGGAATGCATCTCCACCCCTTAAGTCAACGGTCCATGTCAGAAAGAGAATGTGTGGTATGGAACGTGGTTATATACGCATTTGAGCATTTGACTGCAGTGCCCTCTCGTCTATAAACGTTGAGCCTATGCATGCAAAGTTTAACGCGATTATATACGCATTTGACCGCAGCGCCATCTCCTGTATAGACTTTGAGCGGCTACATGCAACGTTTCATCCATGACAGAAACCCCCAGCTCTTGAGTTACTACTACATCTCAGAGCCCCCTACTCGTCCCGCAGTCGTGGCCGAGTAATTAAGGCGATGGACTAGAAATCCACTGGGGTCTCCAGGCACAGGTTCGAATCCTGTCGACTGCGCAAACATTTTCAGGGGCGAAGCTCCTTAGGGGCTAGCCATGTCCGTATGTCCGTCCGGCACTTGAGCACGTGCTCCCGTGTTCGTGTAGGGCAAAAAACAAAGAACCACATCTCCACGTGGTGTTTGATGTTGATTAGGGCGAAGCTCTGGTGGTGCTTGTCTGCGTACACGCTGAGCCGCAGCATGCCGAGCCTTTCGTTTGTTTTCATCCATGTCAGAAAGAGAATGTGTGGTATGGAACGTGGTTATATACGCATTTGAGCATTTGACCGCAGCGTGACATGCATGAAAACGAACGAAAAGCTCTGCATGCTGCGGCTCAGCGTGTACGCAGACAAGCACCACCAGAGCTTCGCCCCAATCAACATCATTCACCACGTGGAGATGCGGTTGTTTTTTTCTTTTTATGTGAGCACGGACGCCGGACGGATGGTCGAACAAGGCTAGACCCTAAGGAGCTTCGTTCCTAATAAATAAAAAAAGGAATGCTGGCAAACTGATGAAACGGAAAATCAAGTGGAAAATACCACGAGCCAGATACCGCTGATAGCTGAGGTCAGCCGTAAATCCATATCCGAATCCATAGCACCTTGGTTACTGTAGTCGCTGTACGAGGGACTGACGTGAGTGTGGTCCATCGCGTTTGCGCTCACGATAATGCACATGCGGTTGCAAATTGTAGCCGTTCATCAAATCTATCGCAGTGTTTGCGCCACGACCACTTTGCCAACTCTGCAATCCAGACATCATGGCAAGCAAAGGACACATCACGCTACCGCGTGTAAATAACTTTCCAGTGCTTCATACAATAAAACAAAAAAGACACTTAGGGCACTTAGGTTGCTTTTAGAGGCGAAGCTCCTTAGGGTCTAGCCTTGTCCGTCCAACGTCCGTGCTCACATCGATCTTGCTGGTGCTCGTGCTCGTGAGCTCACATGCTCGTGTAGGGCAAAAGAAAAAAAAATGTTTGGGCAGTCTACAGGATTCGAACCTGTGCGGGGAGACCCCAATGTATTTCTAGTCCATCGCCTTAACCACTCGGCCACGACTGCGGGACGAGTAGGGGGCTCTGAGATGTGTTAGTAATTCAAGAGCTGAGGATGTCATGGATGAAATGTTGCATGTAGCCACTCAACGTCTATACAGGAGAGGGCGCTGCGGTCAAATGCATATATAATCGCGTTAAACTTTGCATGCATTGGCTCAACGTTTATAGATGAGAGGGCGCTGCGGTCAAATGCTTAAATGCGTATACAGTGTAGACCGCATATAACGTATGTCGCGGGAGTCGCGAAAATCCGCACTATAAGCGGTACCGCGCTATAACCAAAACATCAATTTTTTTAGGTCAAAATACATGACATCAGACAACTTACCTTTGTAAAAGAATTTATTTAATGTTAGATGAAAAATAAAGCTCAGTTTGAGGAAAGTCTTTATTTCACCAGACTAGTACACGTCTCTCAAGTGTGCCACACATTTTGAAAGAAATGAGCGACTTTTGCCTGGCGCAGCCTTTTAACGGCGTCGTGAGTTGCGGACGGACGTTGCGAGCGTTCAGGATTGCTAACCCTAATCACTTTTCTCCGGCGATGAAAACACGTGAAAATTCCCATCCTTTATACGGTACGCGCCAGTAATACCTTCAACTTGAGCACAGGCATGAAATGCTCCAAATAAGAAATTTGGGCGATGTTCGAAAACACAAATGCTTAGAAAGCACCACTGTGGTGAAAGTAAACAAACATGACGACACGGGCATTTCTGCCGTCTTGAGAGTGCCGCCACAACATCGCCGCACGAGTAGGTGGATCTTCCCTTCTAGTACGTGCTGGGTTATCATAGCGACACACTACGAAAATTCACAGTCAGGGATAGCGCTTTTACGCGGAACGATGAGCTTCCACCATGCCGTCTACGTCGACGATCACAGCCGACGCCATGTTCGCGGATAGAAGCAGCCGGCCCGCGACCGGCATGCAACGCGCGTGAACACTTCTCCTCGACCTGCGATTGGTCTGTTGTTGCGGTTGCGGCGGTTGTTTGTTTCCAACGCAGTGGAGAGACGCACGTACGTGAACGACACGTGCGTGCGTCCCTCCGTCGCTATGGCAACTGAAGCCTCTCCCTTCGCTTCTCCCCGCTTCTTCGAGCAACCTCCTTGCCCCGCGAGTGCCGCTTGCGGCTCGCGCCGTTATCTAGTGTCCCACAGGGAAGCATGCTCGCTGCGGTGCGGTTGGCGGGCTGTTCCAAAAACCGCACTATAACCGGTATTCCCCTTCGCGCACCTGCATTTTAAGCGGTATGTAAATACATGGAGTTCTATGGGAGGCGAACCGGTGGTTTAAAAAAGCCGCGTTATACCCGGTCCTGCACTATAAGCGGTTACGTTGTAAGTGGCCTATACTGTATAACCACATTCCATACCACACATTCTCTTTCTGACATAGATGAAAACGAACGAAAGGCTCGGCATGCTGCGGCTCAGCGTCTACGCAGACGAGCACCACCAGAGCTTCGCCCCAATAAACATCAATCACCACGTAGAGATGCGGTCAATTTTTTTGTGTTTGCCAAGCTCGGAACCATCCTGTGCAGTCCAAAAACAAAACAGGGAACTCGACCGCGAGTTGACACTAATCAGCTAGTTCCACGTTATTCATAGTTTTCGAAGTATTCAAAGAACTCGAATACTTCAAACAGCGAACGGTTGAAGCAAATCGAATTGAATTGCAAGCATTATTCGTGAAACATTCAAAGTTTTGAATCTTTGCACACCCCTAATGCTTACCAACTATCCCAGCTCACCACTCTTTAGAGAGATAGGTGCTGAATATGTTGCTCGACCAGAACTTTGCCCTGCGACAATGGTGACAGCGGGAAGCAAGGCCAGGGGAGGGGTGTATGCACGTGCAGAAGCTTACTAGAAAAAGGTCCATTAAAATGTGCTGCATCATACATAGCCTCCCCGGTGTAAGGGGGAACCACATAGGTTAGGCCCTATTGGGACTTTGGAGGCTGGGAACGACAGTCTTATTCAGTTTGAATTGAGTTTTGAGGCTGCTACTCCCGTCTAGTTAGAGGTATTTGGTGCTTCGGTAATTTCAAATTTGTGAATATTGGCTGGACATAGCAGAGAATAACTGCAGAGAGGTTATGTGAAGGATATGTCTAGATAGGGTTAGGTCATTTTGGTAACGATGCTCTGTTGACCTTCTAACCGTTTAGAACGAGTTTGACCCGTAAGGGGGATCGCTCGTAAGGGGGATCGCTTTTGCTCCACGCTCCGCTCGGAGCGTGGAGCAAAAGCTTGCGCTGCAGAACCTCCTGGGTTCAGTCCCCACCCCCTGCCCGTTTCGATCTGGATGAGTTTCAAACCGGCATGTGTTCATGTAATCACTGCCACGTGCTGCACGTTAAAGACACCAGGGTAGCCGTTGTACTACACTGGCTAAATTTCTCATCTGCAGCTGAGAGACAAGTCACCCATTGAGGCGTACTAGTATCAAGGCTGTCTAAACATACAAGCAATTTTTTCTTGGTTTTAGCTTGTCAACTTGGATCCATTCCCGAACCGTTCAGGACGAGTATAGCCCGTCTGCTTTTTGCAGTTCGCGCACTCGGCCATTTTGCACACCCCAGGCCCGCTCGTGGCTTAGTTTGCGGCTCTGCTGTAAGATGGCAGCACCGACTTTTTCTTTAAATTTGGTTCCCATTTTGCTTCTGGCTAGAAATTTGATTTAGAAGACAGCAATTAGATGCAATTGGGGGTCAGAAATTCCCAAGAACCAAAGAGGGTTAAAGGACACATGCAAAGGAAAAAAACATTTTTTTTAGACAGCTTAGATGGAAAAAGGATGTCATAAAACGACTTTACAACGAAGAAACAAAATACAAATTTATAAAAATACAAAATACGAAATCGTATAGTATTTGTAGCGCCAACTACAAATACTATACGAATTTGTAGTTGGCGCTCGCGGGAGCCGCCGCTGGTAACGTGGTAGGCCCGCGAGCCGCCGCGCTGCGTCGCCGCCGCACGCGGAGCGTTGTGCGAACGCCGCTTCAACGCGTTTCTCCACGCCGCCGTCGCCGCCGCCGCACAAGTTTGTCTGCTTCGGGGCGCTGCCGCCGTCGTCTGACCGGCGCACAGGTCTGTCACGTCTGCTTGCGCTTTTTCAGGAGTTTCCTTTGGGCTCTAAAAGTTACTTATTCGTCTTGGTTTTTTGTTATACTTCAAACAAAGATGAATAAGTTACTTTTAGAGGCCATAGGAAGCTTCCGAAAGAGCGCAAGCACCACGTGATAAATAAAGACCAGTCACGTGATAAATACGGACCACTTTTCTGCGGTGCCCGCGGGCGCCAACTACAAATTCGTATAGCGCCATAAATATAGCTCTAAAATTTTTTTTTCTTCGTTGTAAAATCATTTTATGGCGTCCTTTTTCCATCTAAGCCGTTTAAAAAAAATGGTTTTTTCCTTTGCATGTGTCCTTTAAGGGGTTCCGAGCCTCCCGTGTGCCTCTATTACATTGCTGTTTCTTTCTCGTCTGGCTCCAGGACTACCACTGGTGGTGGCGGTCCTTCCTGACGAGCGGCTGCACGGCCTTCTACCTTTTTGTGTACTGCGTGCACTACTTCTCCCGGCTGAGCATCACCGGCCTGGCGTCCACCTTCCTCTACTTCGGATACACCACCATCATCGTCTTCCTCTTCTTCCTGCTCACGGGTGAGGCAGCGAAGCCGTCGCAACACCCGCAATGCGGATGGAAAACCCAGTTTTCAGAAAACAAGAAAAAAAATTGTGTTTGTCCGTTTTATGGATAAACAGGATTATGCCCATTGTGTTAGAAATTTTTAATAGTCTTGTTTTATTGAAAAAAGTGTTCTCTAATTTTATTGAATAGCAGCGTTTTCCTACCTTTCGGTAAGCTTCTTTTAACGGTAACCCTCGAAGCAATACAGATTTGAACTCCGTATTTTCAGATACCCGTTCTTCCCTTGGGAAATTCGAGCCTGGAATTCACGTGAAAGTGATATTTTGAAATGACATCTTTGATCAAAAATTTTACTACTGCGCTGGACATATTTTTTAAACCGCTTTTTATTTGTTCGCATTCTTCCTTTCATATTTTTAACATTGCACTATTCCACTCCTGCTGTGACTCTTAGTGAAGAGCAGCAGTATTGTTAAATAAATAATAAATAAATAAATAAATGGGGGAAGCAGTTTGGAGGTTTTGTAAGGGTTTCCCCTAAAGAGGCTATACTATACTCCGTTCACCCCCAAGCTGACGGTGTGGCAGTAGTTACCCACTTGCCGTACCAATCGGCTGCCTCCCTTTCGTCACCTGACCCCACTCCCTGCGCCTGGGTATGAACGAAGTGTGGTTCAGCGTTGTTGAATGAGGATGATGATTTCCCTCGATGTGTTTATGCAGGCACCGTGGGTTTCTTCTCCTGCTTCTGGTTTGTGCGCAAGATTTACGGAGTTGTCAAGGTGGATTGAGTGCCGCAAGCTGCCTCCACGGAAAGACCCACCTCTGCCCGTTCTCCGTGCCGGACACGGTCGCCATCTTGTGTTTTTTTTTTTTTTTTACGCTGTTCCGCAGTAGACGGGGAAGGCGACGATTTTTGCGCAGCTGCGAGAACCGCTAGCTTATCTGCTTGTTTCGTCGTCTTTGTGTGTTTTGTTTGTTCTGTTATTTACACTTTCAAAATGATATCCCCTTTCTATCGCTCTAGAGTCCTTTAAAATCCCTAGGGGCTGTTTAGTGTAAGTGAACCAAAGTATTTAATTTTGTTTCGCGTTTTCGCCGCATTGCCGTTCGTAAGTCGTTGAATTAGTTTTAAACCAGTTCTTGTTTCCTTGTTAAACTTGTTCCAAACCTTCAGTTGAACATTTGCTCGGTCCTCGTCACAGATGCTCACTTCCAATATTCTCTTTTTTTTTTCCCCCTAAAACCTGGTAACTACCTGATATTCTTTTGTTGAGTAGATTTCATTGGTTGGAAGATTCATTGGTTGACTTGGTAGTGGCTGTGATAGGGGTGGAGGGGGGGGGGGGAGGAGAGAAGATGCATTACAGGAATTTAAGAGCTTGGGGGCTTGCATACCACACTGCTGCCACTCATCAGGCAGCAACCCTCCGATAAAACAAAGTTTGTCATCTGCATATTCATTAGCTGCTTCTTTGTCTAGCTTTAGCGCTTGTTTTTTTTTTTTCTTGTTTTTTTTACAGAGCATTTTGTTTTTGTCTGTATATATTGACTGAAATTTTTTTTTGTCACTTTGGCTTTTTGGTTTGGACCGGTCACGAGGTTTGGGGAGGATTGCGACGGATGTCTAGTCTTGACGGAGGACACTGCACTCGGGAGGCAATTTCCGCACAATAAAACTGTGTAAATATAACCAGGAGTGGTTGTAGTAATTAATGCACATTTGGACGGGATCCCTAGACTTAACATTCGCGGCAATTTTGAAATTTTTTACCCTTTGCGCACACAATTTTTCTTTTTTTTGTTTTTGTTTTTTAGTGGCAAACTTGTGTGGCACTTTGGTTTCTTGCATCGACTTGCATCTGACAGAATTCTTGTGGTTGGGGGTATGGTGTGAACCGCAGTTCCTGGCCTCCCTACGTTTGGATTTGCAGTGTGGATGTTCTGTGTTCTACTGGGTCAATTTTATAGACTATTGTTTTCTGATGGCTGGTGTTAATAAATGGAATGATTGACCTATTTTTTGTCGGTGGGTTTTGCTTTGCTAACAGAAGCAGGGAAGGTTAGTAATATACTGGCTGTGGACAGTTCCCATGAGCACATTTTATGTATGTTTTTGTTTTGTTTAACTGGCGTGGACATGGACAGCATCTGCCAACCAGTCCCCGCAGGGGGCACCTGCAAGGTCTGGTGCGTCAGTAGGTGTTTGGTGAGTGGCATCTCCACTGACCCCGAGCCATGCAAGTTCATACACCCACGCCTGACTGTGCATGCCGTGCCCTGGGAAAACGGCATCCTGGTGGTTGAGCTAAGCCCAGGGTTGGTTTGGACCCGTCAAGGCCCCTCAAGCGATGCAATACACAACTTCGACCCCTGGTTCTCATAGACGGGTGTCCTGTTAAGGCCCGGCCAGAATTATTCAGTCCGTCACCTGTTCTACCTTCTTTCACCACTTCCTACTATGCTGTCTTTCCTTTTTCGATTTCAGAATGCGTGAGGCGATACTTCTCTGCCATATGAAGTGAAACTTGAAGTCCGGCTGTCCATCTTTTTGAACATTCACCCGGCAGACGTAACGGCTTTCGTTTATGACGTCGTCAGTAGGACATACGGGACAGGCTGCGCAGATCTAGGATTCCTCGGTTTATTGGTTCACTTCATGCTCTTTTTGGGTAACGCGCAGCAAAGCATGTTTCACATGTTCTGTTTATTTGGTGAAGTGATATTTGTACTAGGACATTTTACCAAAGCTGGAAAATATGGCACGTGTAATTGTGCTAACGAACGCTCTAGGGGTTGAGGTGTCGAAGTGCTGGAATGGTAGTGTGCTGTTCTCTACCCCAGTACAAAAGCCCGATGATCAAAATAGAATATCCTGCGTTTTGCCCCACTACAACATCTACCACGGCGAATAGGGTGTGTTTTTTCGTTACGATTCGGGCAAAATGAAATGGAGAAAGGAATGCCTTATCAAATTGAAAATGGGAAAGCGAAATTTGTGTATCCTCTTGGTTTCAATGTGTTTCGCCGTAGCCTCCTCTATACTGACAAAACCTGGCAGATCATCACGTGACATGGCCGCCAAAATTGAAAAAATGGAGTGGCAGACAAGAGTCGTGTAACGGGCGCCCCATTGCGGCGAGACGCCGAAAAACACTTGCCCCGAGCGACGGAATGTCTGCTCGTGCTTCTCGTGTTCCTTGGTCTACGGCTTCTTTTCTCTTCTGGTTTGAATACCATGTTTTGGGTCCTCACCGCTGCAAAACCTGTGCGCTGAATACCAGACTCCCCAATAAATGCTCTGTGCTACCAGATCCTCGCGCTCCAAATCTGCAACCGGGCACTCTATGGCTCCGTCATCGAACTAACAGGCTTTGTGAGTATAGAGGAGGCTATGGTTTTGCAAATGCTGGTCTCTTTTTAGTTTCAAGTTCATTCTTCATTTTTGAGTTTTGTAAACCAGTAAACATTTTCTCAAAATAACTGGCAGGAGGAAGTGGTGGCTAGCACCTTAGAGTCCCATAGGGAACACGAGGTTTTTCGCCATCTTCGAAAAATTGTCGTATAATAACGGCTGCGCGGATCTTCTCGCGAATTCCGGCTTTAAAGACATTGAGGCATTATCGAAACATTAAATGGAACAATTGTTTATTATAAATTTAATCAATATTCTTTAAAAAAATCATGAAAATGGTCAAAATCGGCACTCTTGCGTTCGGAGCGAATTTACAAAATTATCTAAATGCAAACAGATAAAAGTATTTCATTTAATGTCTTCTAAACTTATTATGGAATTGAATAATATTGAAATTATTCATGTAACTCTATCTTTTATGTAACTACTGCGTACAGCGAATTAAAAGAACCAAGGTGTCGGCGCTTGTTTTCATTGCTTTTAAGCTATCTCTCTGCCGTGAGGTGGTGCTCCCTGTTCACGAAATTATCCGTTCAGCGATTGGCACTGTGCAAGGTGTTCTTCCGCGCCCGTATCCTGTTCGGGGTGTCGAACCGAAATGTTTTGTAGCTTGAGCTACACTGGCCGAGGTTGACCAGTTTTGCGTGGCTCCTGGAGAGCCCTGCTGCGCATGCGCGAGGAGCAGTGACGTCACACTGGGCACAGCTGGCGCGCCGCCGCCGCCGCCGCGCGCGCCTCGCCGGTCCGCGCATTCTAGAGGAGTGACGTCATAGCCGCGGCAGGCGCGCTGGCGCCGCCGCATGCCCAGCTGTGCGCCTCCGTTGCGCAGCACGCTGCACCGGAGCTGCTTGATGGCGCCTCTCATTTACATGTGTCACATAATGCGTGTAACCTGTGTGTGTCATTGAAGCAGCAGAAAGCATGATAATCAAGCTAATCCTAGACAACCAGGAAAGCTAAGAATAACCAACTGCAATTTTCGTTCCGGTTGAGGGAAAACGATTCAGCTCCGGTTTAACTCCGGAGTGAAAAAAATAAAGGTTCGAACTGGTTTGACTCATACGCTACCATAGAGTTATTATAATAAACGCTAGAGGCTCAGCTGGCGCTAGTGTCTATGAAACTTCCGGTTGCAAATTGAAGCAGACTGCATGCAGGCTACTTTTCCAGTCTCCCTGTGTATTCCTATGGGAAGACGCGCGTGAATTTTGTCTCGTCGCCGGAAAATAACATGAATAGCGCTTGTTATTTCGGTTGTGCCGGATAGTATGCACCTTTATTACTATTGTGAAAGTGTAATTGCTTTAGTTACAGCATTTTTCTTTTACCACTGAACGATGTTCACCTCTGTTCCATGGCAGGTATGTAGAAACGACCGGCGATTCTAAGCAAAATAACGATCGAAAGGAATGTAGAGTGTGTTAAAAGTCCGCCAGCATTCCGTTGGTGCTTATATATTGCTAATATGCCTGTCCTCTCACTATAAGAAAATGACCCCGTCGTGCATGTTTACGAATGGCTAAAAAAACGTTCGAAACGAAAAGAATAAAGCACGTGGGCTACGAAAGGTGTGTTTACTTATTATTTCCTATGTCGGGCAGTTTTTATCGCGCACCTGTTCTCTGGTTCCCCTCTATTTGCAAAGATTTGGAGCGTACGCGTGTGGTGATTTGAGCACAGAACAAGCATCTTCGCACATATATGAGCAGAAAGAATAAAGTAGTACTTATTTATTGCAAATCGGACTATATGTGACTCAATCTATTTTGATCGTCTGCAAGCACAAGGAGTTACTTATCCAGTGTTACTGCGTAGTTCTTGCCGTCTCTCTTCTCTTGGTTTTCCACGTTTTCCACAAGTCCTTCGTTCGTTGCTTGAAAGTAGGGATGTCGCGAACCACCCCAGGTTCGATTTCGAAAGGTTTCGATATTTGCGAAGCGAACTGAGGTTCGATTTCGAAAAATTTCGATATTTTCGTACCGACCCAGGTTCGAAATCGAAAAATTCGCAACTTTCGATGTCAGTGGAGTTTCGAATTCGAAAAGTTCGCAGCTTTCTCGGTTTCTAAAATTTCGGATTCGAATATTTCGAATATTTTTTTACTTCAGGTTCGATAAATTCGAAGATTTCGAAATTTTTTGGAAATTAAATTCGAAAACTTCGAACGCTTCGAATTTTTATAGACATGAAGTTCGAAGATTTCGAATTTCTTTCTGCATAAAGTTCGAAAAGTTCGAAGGTTTCGATTCTCTTTTAACGCTAAATTCGAAAAAAAAACTCGAAGTTTTTTAATTTTTTTCTAGTCCAAGTTTTCAAAGTTCGAAGTCCGGTTTTCAAGTTCCTCAACATTTTGTTTCAAATAACGTTTTCACGACTCACTGGTTTTCACAAAATCAAGTTTAGAAAAGTTAGGGTGTGATATCTAGATTCTGCGAAGTTGGTCAGGCAATTAAATGAGACGGCAAGTGTCCCGGATGGTGCTGGAATATTTGGCAGTGCAGAGTGACGTGTGACCATAGATCAGTAATTGTGACCGCCAGCCCGGGGGGGGAGGGGGGGGCTTTAACCTGCATCACGCAGTAGTGATCACACGAACAGACTGTTTTACGAGACTCATCCAGTTCGAAACGGCCAGGGGCGAGCAGTTGGTTGAGGCTCACAAAAACCTTGTAGCGACCTGGCAAACTACCTCGCCACCCCCTGCACGCTGGTAGTAATCCGATCGAACGCCGCCCGAATGACGCTGGCATATAGTAAGTTAAGTTTGTAATTGTTCTGGAGGTTTATTTTCAGGAACGGAGCAATCGCCTCGCAAAAAGTCGACACACCTCGAGGTCGAGGAGCATTTTACCATACAAGTGGCGTCGGAAGAGGAAAAACGGGGGAAAGAAAGTAGCGGGGGGAGGGGGGGGCTTCGGTTTTCTTCCCCCTTTCCAGATATTTCGGACTGTTAATAAAAACAATACGGGGAAAGAGGGCGTGGTCGAGCTGATTTTAATCTGAAATTATTTATGCATATGTATAGCTACTGTCGCTCTTCACTGCATAAAAGATTGCGTAGATGGTCATTATTAGAAACTCGTTGTCAGAAGGCACTACTCGTCACATGCTTAGTGGTTCGGAAGTTCAAAGCTATGCCTTTTCAACCTAAATACCTGTGCCAATAGTAAAAAAAAAAAAAATAATAATAAATAAATGCGGGGATAAAAAGCTGAAAAAAAAAAACTATCAAGAATTCACCGGAAGTGTTGTATTCCTGCATATTCAGAGGTTCAGAACTTCGAAACAAGTTTCTTTTACCAAAATGTGTACTGGCTAAAAGAAATACTTCCCAGGAACGTGAAGCGAAAAAAAAAAAAGTTTTCTTTTAATGACTAGCTGAACTTGAACACTATTAGAAATCTTCTCCCATGAGTTAATTACGTGAAAAAAACCATAAATACATTATTTTGTATTCTGCAGATGGCAATGATATGTACCGTCCGTGGTGTTAATTTAAATGCGATACCTCAAACAACTTAGACGAAAATAAATATCAAGTTTAGGGCATAATTGCATGTAGATACATGTTTGGACATTTCTTCAAAACTCACGTTGAATAACA